TCCTGCGATGGAGTACAGTTTGCTGGTACTGGTAATATTATTCAGGGACATAAACAACCTTATAAAGTTCACGAGCAATCGGGCGTTGATGAACCTCCTTCCAGGCTCAGAAAAAGAAACCATTCAACAAATTATGCCGAAAGCTCATCGAGAGAGGAATCGAATTCAGATTACGAGGAGAAATCAAAGAGAGTGAGTAATACCTACACTATTTAGGTTACTACGAAACTTAATGATTAACCTTTCTGATTTAGGTAAAAAATGAACCCATCCGATCCTTGAATGAATTTTCCAGTTCCTTCCCGAAGCTACCGGATGACGACGAGAATGATGAGAGCGAGAGTGAAGCAATTACCAGAAAATTAAATAAATTAAAAAAGCGCCTCGAAGCTCAGCCAAGAAATGATGTACGCAATAAACTGAATTTTTAATTTTTATAATTTCATATGTATAACAGAATAATTGTAATTTTGTAATTTTGTTTTAGTGGATCGTAGGCACAATTAATGTGTCAAAAAAGTTCAAAGAATTTCAAATACAATTAATAGAAAATGTAATAAATGGGAGGGTAAAATTAACATGGAATGACAAATACGAAATCTTGTAAGTATTTTAAAATATTTATAGTTTCACTATATATTTATTGAAAATGTACTATTAATCTTCCCATATTTATATTTAGAGCACTTGCATCAGTAATCGTATTAATTAAACCATGCCCATATTCTACATTTACTCCATATGAATGGAAGCAAATAATTAATACCAATCCTTATACTGTCAAAGAGTCGGTTTGGACCAACCCCTTCGCATCTTCATTATCTGAGGCATGCAATAATATTGCAATTGGATTAGATGGCAATTTCATATTGAATGATGGAAGTGATCTGGGTAAGAAAGCTAGCCGAGTATTCAATAATCTGTAAGTTGCCATCAAGTTTTTTTTTTGATAATGATGAAAAACTAAAAACCAGAAATAAATCGATTCGATTTTGGTGCCTAGAAAAGAAGACTTACCGTCAGTACAAATAAAAAGAACCACGGAAAATGAGCATCGATTTAATTATTTAGATCCTTTGTTGAGACCATTTTTCTGTGGAGATTCAAAAGACTACGAAATAAGGATGGATAAAAGTGTAAATGGGTCACTGAAAAGACCAGATTTTAGCTGTAGAATCAATGATATTACAATATTAAATTCCGAAATAAAGCCATTGGGTTGCACGGAATTACAAAAAAATAAAGATTTCGTTAAGGTACATTTACGGTCTAAAAGATCAATAAATCAGCTTTTAAATGAAGGCGGTCCGAATCAATCGATTATTTTTTTAAACATGGGTACGTATATGCTTTTCTTAGTTAAAATACTTTTATATGATTTTAACAAAATATGGTTGATAATCCAGGGGATGATGTAAATTCATATGTTATGGATTTACAGTATGATGGCATATATCGGTCATGTCCTTTGCTTGCCACCAAGTTAGTAACAGAAAAAGCATTATTTCCAATGCTGGTATTGTCAGTATATCATATTGATAAGATAGAGGTAAATAGTATGTTCCATTTTTTTGTATTCGCATTTAACTTTCACAGCAAACTTTGTTTATTTTCATTACAAAGCAACACGTTCAGGGGATCGCGAGTGAGTTTATGAGTAGAAGGTCAAGTCAATACAATTATTCCGAACAAATTGGATACATGATTGAAGAACTAAGCTCATCTGAATTTAAGGAATTATTGAGGTGATCTCATTATACTGTGTGGGATTTTATTCTGATAAAATTGCTTACAATTTTAATTTTTACTGTTAATTTGACGAGCTTATGAAGGAATTTCTCAGCTACTTGCAATATTTTTATGGCATTGTGTATTAAAAAGACGTACTGTAAAAAGCATAAAATTATAATATTGGTCCTTCACATTAGATCAAATGCAAAAAGAAAAAAGATTAAAGTGCGAATTCAAGTGCAACAATTAGAAATATTTTACCCGAAACGGCGGTTTTCCCGGTGTAATTAAGTATAGAATTATTTAGACATTTATTAAGTTTGGTTAATCTTATTTCTGTGATGTGAAAGATTGGCAAAGGGATCAGAGATTCGCTGAACATAGTTCAGATCTTTCTCAATGATCCTTGTCTTTCACTTGACAATAAAAGCTTTATAAATCAGAGAATGGGTATGACGATTATTAAAATCGCATTAAAAAAAGGAACAAAAAAAGTTAAATATATTTTATCCTGCGTTAAATAATAAAATTAGGGAGCCCAATGGACCCTTTATTTATAAAAATTATTGCCAGAACGACAATATACAGATAAAAAAATATACGCCTCTTTGAGGCACCCTTAACGGGCTATGTTGGTGTGGTCTACATTTGATCTAACATATTCTGACGCTGACCGGGATTTACCCAATCATTATTATCATTGTCCCTATCACGTTCTAAGTTTTCTTTTGACATTTTTCCCCAGGTCTTATCATCTAATTTTTAGTAAAACAAAAAACTTATTATATTTGCATGAATGTACTTGCACAGCAAGAAGTTTACTTACAAGATAAAAATTCTCTTGGCTTGTATTGTTGTTTTGATTTAGAATTGTTTGGAGTCTTATTTTTTTTCTTGTTCTTGGTGGTGTTATCGTTAGTGCTCATTTTTCGTTCCTAAATAAAAAATATAGTAAAAATTCGATTTTCTTAGCCTCTGTTAAATGGTACATTACTTTTTAAAAATACAGGCAGGTAAATCAAGTAAATATATATAAGCAAAAAATAATGTTAATGCTGACTTATCTTAAGTAAAAACTTGCTTATTTATACCGTCCATTCGCTAGATCAAAAAAACCTGCTAGAAAAAAAAAAGTTACATGATTAGTAATTGCATTAGGGTAATGCTACCTAGATCCCACCATGTAAAGCAAGTCTATTCGGCCATAAGTTCCAAATACTGGGTCTATTTTGTTATTTTTCTGGTAAAATTAACTCCCCTTAGATTCGACGATCGTATTCTGCGAAGTGAAAAAAGTCAATGATCTTGACGATCTGGGAATTCCAAGTCCCCATGACATATGAATTTTGATAAAACTACTGATAAAGAACGTTATACTCATTGCCCTTATAGCCTTTTTAGGATGCAAAGAATCCCTGCTTCGCAGAGTCCCATTCGTGATTTGCTCTTATCACGGAACCATATATAATAAGAAAAGGGTCTAGTTATTTGTTAACAGTTAATAAAAAATTGACTGTGAGAAATAATTTTGCAGGAGAGTAACACCGCATAAAATTTAATGCAGGTCATTGATTATTAAAGCCGGTCGAACTGATAATCGTTATTATAAAAATATAAAATATTAAACACAGGGATATGGAATTTATGTGCGGACCCATGGGACTGTTAAGTCATGTGATCGTATGACATAATAAATGCTTTATTTTCTGGCAAATTTTTTTGATTTATTTCAATTTGATTTAACAGCCGTGAATTTAACTTTCCTCATTTATAGATTCCAGTGGCCCCC